AAAGCACCCAGTGTTATATGACTGTTAAATAAATTATGGTTTATTTGTAACCATTAAAAATCATGTTGAAGAAAAAGATCGATGATACGGAAAATATCAGCAATTGAAAAGCACATCATAAGATAATACTAGCTTGTAATATATACACATACTATGCATATCACGTATAGATATCATGCTAGATTAAAAAAATGGGATTTTTATTTTCTGTGATGTCTTCTTTTTCTTGTTTTTACAGTACATTACTATTTCTCTTTAAATCAGGAAAAATGATATTTTAAAGCATTTTTAAGAAAGTTTTTTTTTTTCTTTTTAAGATCTTTGCAGAGTTGAAAAGAGTTATTAGGAATCAAGGAAGGAGGGGAGCCTGGCTGGCTTAATCCATCTGAGGGTCATGAGTTCAAGCCCTACCTTGGGCATGGAGCCTACTTTAAAAAAAATGAAAAGGGGAATCAAGGAGATTGGAAAGGGATCTTTGAAGGATGGAAGGGACTTAGGTCAGCACAGATGGGCTGGCTAGTTGAGGAGGCTGCCTTAGGCAGGAGGGACACAAAATGAGAACTGGAGGGAATAGTCCAGTAACAGTAGCAGGTCAGTTTCGTTGAAGCATAGGATTCAAGGGAGAGAAAAGTAGGAGACCCAGTCTGGAAAAATAAGATGGGACCGTAGTCCTAAATGCCACGCTGAACCCTTTGTGATTTGTGGCTGGCAAGAACCACTGGCCCTTGAGCTGTGCAGGTGATAAATGTCAAAGTAAATTTTCCTGTAACCTCTTACTTAATGAGGTTCTGGATCTCAGCTCTTCTATCGTAATGATAGTTGGACATGTGATTGACTCAGAGCAGTGAGGCAGGGGCAACCGTATTTTGCATTCCAGCTGCTTACAGAATGAGAATTGGCCCTTGCTTCTCTGCCTGTTAATCACTACAATTTTTATTCACAAGGCACCAGATTTTCAGAGAGAACAGATTAGCAAAGAGCGAATCTGAAAGGAAGAAATGTGCACCTTAAACCAGAGCTTTAAAAAAAAAAAAAAAGTTTTTTAGAACTTTCTGTGAGTTCCACAGATAAATGAGATCACACAGTATTTATCTTTTTCTCTGACTTATTTCACTTAGCATAATGCCCTCAAGGTCCATCCATGTTGTCACAAATGACAGTATTTCCTTCTCATATTGCTGAATAATGTTCTTTGCCAACGTTTTTGACTCTGACCTTCTATACACAATATATTGCACATCTCAACCCAGAATATACACACACACGTACACACCTCCGAGAAGTTTCATGAAGTATTACTGTTACTTTAGGCACTGCTGGCTGAGACTTTCAACTTCATGATTTTTATTTCTTTTGAAATACCGGTCAGAACCTACTACATTGATTTTATAACCCACTATAGGGTTACAAAATGCTTCAAAGGATGTTGAAAAGAGGCTAGACTATTCCCTGCTATGTTTGCAGTTCTCATTTAACTAGCCATACAGACTGTGACCTTAAGTTTGCCATGTTTACATGTCCCAGAAATCAACAGGACAGGTGAGACTCTCGGGATGTGGTGGGGGCGGGGATAGAAGGATTGGCACAAGCCATGTTTGTATTCCTCTTCCCTTCTTAGCAAATATTTCCTGACACCAGCATCTCTCAGCAGCTGTAAATGTGTTCTTCTTTGTCTAGCTTGAGATACAGTTTAAACTTCAGACAAGGCCGGACTACCCTGTAAACCAGAGACAACTTTTCATTTGAGTGAACAGAATCACAGACTACAATGAAAGGGGGAAAAAATGTATCTTGACTGTGACAGTACATAGAAGCTGTCTTACTCACCACTGTTGGAATACCATAGAGACAGTAAGTACCACCCCTTTTTTCAAAGTCCAGAACCAATGAGGAGATGAAAATAACTCCATCACCAACAGAGCTGAACTGAAGAATGTGGCTTAGCTGATGACCCGTAGGCTTTTTAAGATTCCCTGAATTAAAATTCTCTCCCCCAAAACTCCAACCTTCACCTTGAGGGGGCCTAGCCACTTTAACTGTGTCTGCTTAGAGAAGATTGCACTCTCTGAGGGCAGGCAGATCCAAATTCACCAATTAGGTAAGTCGCTCCTTCTGGAAGACCCAGGATACATTGTCTCCTACCTGACCTCCTATGAAAACAAACAAGCAAACAAAGTTGGGGAATAAGGATTTATCCCTGCCCGAACAAACTGGATCTGACTCATTAGTTTGGCAGTTGAATGGGAAAGTGTATTAACGCAGCGAATTATAAAAAATGGCAAATACATGCCTTAACATTTCATTTTCACTTAAAACCTATAAGGAACACCCATTTGCCAATCTTTTGATGCGAGCCAAACCTTTTCTTTGAGGAACACTGCTAATCACAGTTTTCTTGAGCCCTATCTTACTTAAAACCTATCTGTGGTATATTTTCTGTGCTTTCCAATTTGTTTCTTTAATGTTGACTAAGGACTTGGGACGCCTGGGTGGCTCGATCTGTTAAGCGTCTGACTTCTGCTCAGGTCATGATCTCACAGTTCATGGGTTTGAGCCCTGCCTTGGGCTCTGTACTGACAGCTCAGAGCCTGGAGCCTGCTTCAGATTCTGTCTGTCCCTCTCTCTCTCTCTGTCCCTCCCCTGCCTCTCTCTCTCTCTCTCTCTCTCTCTCTCTCTCTCTCTCTATCTCTCTCTCTCTCTCTCTCTCAAAAATAGATAAACATTAAGAAATAATTTAAAGTTGCCTAAGGACTTAAAACATCTTGAAAAGCAATATAAGTGGAGGCTTCTTCTTTAAAAAAAAAAAAAATCCTTTGTAATTGTCTCGCCCACACCTGGTTTGACAGTTTTCAACTGGTCATTAGCTAAACCTTCAACTGACATTTCATAGAAACAACTCTTTCTCTTTATACACATGCTTCATCAGTTTGTGTAACTTAAATTAATTACACTCTGGCATACAGTGGTCATAAGCAAGTTTGGGACCAAACACAACAGACTCCCGTTAGGCATCTAACTCAACTAGTAGGAAGAAGTGTGTTGGAATTGCACAGATGAACTCATTAATCCAAAGCGTTCAGCAGGTCACAGGTAGTAGTCATTATGTTTAATCAGAGGGAATGGAACGTGTTGATTCCAGAGAGTCCATTAAGAGAGCCATTAATGCTCATAGACCAGTATGACCGACTCTGTATGCGTATATCTTAACATTCTTCTTCCCTCACGGATCCATTTTATAATCCTCTCAAAATCACTGTCCCTCCACTCCCATTTGGCTAAACATGGCTTTAAATGGTTTAAGATTGGAATGGCTATCAAAGAAATTCAAATGGTAACATCACATACTGCATTAGCAAACTATATGTATCTTAAACACTTTCCAGTGCTAATAAGATGGTGTGATTGTATTCAGAAAAAGCTGTTGCAATGTGAATTGGTATAATCCTTTTAAGAAGCAGTTGACGCTACTTCTGAAGAGCCTTAAAAGAGATACGGCTCCCTTTTGATTCATCAATACCACTCCTAGAAACTTTTCCTTGGGAAGTAATCCTCCCCCAAAGAGAACGTCCACACTCACAATATGTGCTACTGCCTTTTTGTGATAGTGAAAGTTGAAGTAATTTACGGTGTGTAACATTGTGTAACTTACCACTGAGTAAGCAGAAAGGGGTAACTTGGAAAACACTTAATGACATATTATTTGGAAAAAAGATACAATTTGTTCTACCATACTAAGAACCTGAAAGGGAATTGTATACTTTCCCCGGGTGAATTCTGTGAATCATATCTCAACTTTTTAAAAAAAGATACAATTCTGTATTTTTGCTTTTGTATCAGCCAAGATCAGCAGGAAACAGATGGCCTACTCTGAAATGTGTAACTGAAGAGAGTTAATGAAGGGACAGTGTGCAAAGATGTGGGCACGTTTGAGGGAAGCCAACAAGGGGTAATGAAGCACCCCAGGGCTAGCAAAGAGAGGAAACCCAGGGCTAAGTGAAAACAATAGCTGATGGAAAGGGAAGGCCAATAGGAACGTACAGGAATACAGCCCTACCCCTGTCTCTCTCTTGCCCTCAGATCTCCTGTGCTGCCTCCCACTGGCTGAACCCAAGAGGAAGCCTAAGGGCAAGTGAGCCCTGATGACGTTGTCCTTCAAGGCCAGCCTCCGGAAAATGATGGAGGGTAGATCTGGAAGGACAAAGGCACAATATCTAGCAGGTATGTGATCCTATAACAGCGTAAGAACTGTCTAAGCATGTGGCCAAGGATCTTAAGGGAACCCAGAAAACCGAGGATTCCAGAGATAAAAAGTGAAGGTAGCTAGAGAGCAGGGAGGGTAGGTGGAGGGAAGAGGAAAGGTTGTTAACTGAGGCTGAGACAAGGATGAGAGGCAGAAGCAAGCACATCTTATTTTTATTTATTTATTTATTTATTTATTTATTTATTTATTTTATTATTATTTTTTTTTTTTTTGCCAAATACTTAGCTGGAGACTGAGCTCTGGAAGAAATTAAAAGGAGAGACAGGAGCTAAATTAGACTAGAGTGCTGGAAATTCTTCCCCTATTGGCTATTACCCTGTATTTCTCCTTCCTAGCTAAACTCCATGCCTTCAACAAATAATTGTTTAGTACCCATCATGTGCCGGGAACTGTTAGGCCCTGGGGATTGAGGAGGGAACAAAATTAACATCCTTGCTCTCCTGCAGTTTACATCCTGGTGGAGAGGAAAACAGACCATAGATAAGTAAATATGTCACGAGTGATAAGTGTTATAAAGAAAAACATGGGAGGGGCGCCTGGGTGGCGCAGTCGGTTAAGCGTCCGACTTCAGCCAGGTCACGATCTCGCGCTCCGTGAGTTCGAGCCCCGCGTCGGGCTCTGGGCTGATGGCTCAGAGCCTGGAGCCTGTTTCCGATTCTGTGTCTCCCTCTCTCTCTGCCCCTTCCCTGTTCATGCTCTGTCTCTCTCTGTCCCAAAAATAAATAAACGTTGAAAAAAAAAGAAAAACATGGGAGAACAGGGAAATAAAACTCTGCCCATTCCACATCTTAAAAACCTCTTCGTTTACACCACACACGCCCCTCCACACACACCAGAGCTCCTGAGTTTATTAAGCCGTGCACATCTCTCACCTGGACAAAGATCGTGACACCTTCCTGCCCCCAGCACCTTCCAAGCAGTCCTCCACTCTGCCATGAGAATCTTCCTGAAATGAATCACGTCAGTATCCTGCTTAAAACCCTCCAAGGCTCCTGTTTGCTTACAATGTGGGAAACCATCTCACCTCCTTACGACGACGGACCTTTTTGAACCTTCTCGGTCCTTCACGCGCCTCTCCCTCTCCCGCTCGCCTTTTCTACCCACACTAATGGTCTGCAGTTTACTGGCCACGCCACACTGTCTCTCATTCCCATATCTTTGTTCATGCTGCTCTTTCCACTTACAATGCCCTGCCATGCCCTCCACCTTCTCCCAAATTTGGCAACCCTGTCCTGATTCTTTTAACCCCATTAGCTGTCACGTCTTTGGTCAAACTTCCCTGCCCTTCCCAGGTGTGAGGGAGCATCTCCTAGCTCCCTCCTTCATGTTATCAGTGTATCTTATAGGTACCTATGAATATATTTATTATACCATATAATCTTATTTCTTAGACTTCAAGATGCTTTGGTTTAAATATAATCCATGGGTCGAACCCCTTCATTGGTTCATGCCTGACCCTCTTTTGTTACTGATCATCCACTGTAAAAGTTAGAATTGACAACTTACACATATCCCCCCCCCAAAACCCAACGGTTAATCTTGTGTTTATTATTTTCTTGCTCCTAAAAATAGTTTTATCTAGCAAATAAATATATTATCAAAAATTAATTTTAAAAATTACCCTGACTCTGATATCATGTCTATGTGAAATCTAAAAAACAATAGGTGAACAGGGGTGCCTGGGTGCCTCAGTCGGTTAAGCATCCAACTTCGGCTCAGGTCGTGATCTCACAGTTTGCGAGTTCGAGCCCCATGTCGGGCTCTGTGCTGACGGCTCAGAGCCTGGCGCCTGCTTCAGATTCTGTGTCTCCCCCTCTCTCTGCCCCTCCCCTGCTCATGCTCTGTGTCTCTCTGTCTCTCAAGAATAAATAAATGTTTAAAATTTTTATTTAAAAAAATAGATGAACAAACAAAAAGCAGAAACAGACCCCTAAATATAGAGAAGGAACCAGTGGTTGTCAGTAGGGCGGGGGGAGGAAGATGGGCAAAATAGATGAAGGGGAGAGAGAGGGCCAGGCTTTCAGCTGCGGGATGAATAAGTCATGGGGACGAAAGGGACATAGTCAAAGGCATTGTAATAGCCTTGTGTGGTGACAGATGGTAGCTACATATTTGTGCCGAGTGGAGTGAAGTATAGAGCTGTTGAATCACTATGTTGTCCACCTGAAATTAATTTAACACGGTGCACCAGCTACACTTCAATTTTAAAAATTACCCCAGCTTTATAAAAATTTAAAGTTAAAAAGTCTTGCTTTTTACAAAGGTTGAAGGGCGCCTGGATGGCTCAGTCAGTTAAGCATCCAACTTCGGCTCAGGTCATGATCTTACGGCTCTTGCGTTCCAGCCCCTCCTCAGGCTCCCTCTTGTCAACATGGAGCCTGCTTCGGATCCTCTGTCTCCCCCTCTCTCTTTCAAAACTAAATAAACATTAAAAACATTTTTTAAAGTTGAGATTGAATGTGTTTATATATACTTTACAGCTATATATATTTCCTCTTGTGAGATATCTGTTCGTATCTTTCTGCCCATTTTCTTTTTTTTTTTTTTGTCCTTTTCTCATTAACTTTCCGGATTTCCTGATGTGTTCTTTTAATAATCCTTTGCAGTTTTTTTCCCCCTTAGAATTCAAGTACACAGAACAAGTTTAATTTCTAGAAATTTATGTCTATATATTTACATAAACACTTAAGTATATATTTTTGTGTATGCAAACCTGCATGCATATTCCCAAAACATGTATTTTAGTTATTTTCTTTACTTTTTTTAATTTTTAAAAATGTTTATTTATTTTGAGAGAGAGAGACAGAGACAGAGCACAAGCGGGGGAGGGGCAGAGAGAGGGGGAGACACAGAATCCGAAGCAGGCCCCAGGCTCCAAGCTGTCAGCACAGAGCCCCATGCGGTGCTTGAACCCACAAACCCTGAGATAATGACCTGAGCCACCCTGGTGCCCCTAGTTGGTTTCTTCATTAAAGAGCATTGCTCCCTACATAATATCCTGGGACTTCTTTTTACTTTCCGTGTTATTTTCTTAAGATTTATCTGGGCCTGCTGCATGTAACCGAGTTTATTTGCATTGTGGTCGCTGTAGATTGTTCTGGAGTGTGAATATACTAGTATGACTTTGCCTCTCGATGCAGAGGCTCTTGGCACCCTGTGTTCTTCCCCTTGGCCCGTCTCAGGTCTTAGGCAAACGTGGTGGCCAGTTTCGTGAGCTCCCAACACTGACAATTCCCGATGCGAGCGTTAGGCCTTGGGTGTCTCTAGTTTCTGCTTCAGGCCCTTCTGTGCCACAAGAGCCTTCTCGGCAGCCCGGCAGGCACAGCCTGAAAGTGAGGAGAGCTAACCCTTGACCAAAGGGGGATGTGAGCCAAGAGATAAATGCCCCAGGCTCCCATCCTTCGGATGAACAATCCTGGGAGGCATTCTGTACACCTCTCAGAGGCGTCCGTGGAATCTCATGCCCCGTGTCAGCCTCCCTTCCTGCTCTGCCTCACCCTTCTCTCCTTCCCTCCCGAGGCCCGAGATCACTTCCCAGATAAACAACCTGCACCCGAGTCCTCGACCCCATCTTTGCTTTTGAGGAACTCAAGCTAATACAACCGATGCTCTGATCATGGACGTTCGCGTTGTTGCAGGTTTTTGCTTTCGCAAAAGTGCTGCCAAGAAGATGTGTGTAAAACCCACGGGTGCACAAGTGCAGGAACTTCTCTTGTGTATTTATGTAAAGTAGAAATGCTGGGTCAAAGGCTAAAGTCAACTTTCAACTCTGCAGTTTCAATTCCAAACTGTTTACCAAAGTGCTTTTTACCGATTCACAGTTTCAGCGTCATCTATGGGAGCCCATTGTTCCCCCACATCCTCGCCAACACTTGGGATTGTCAGATTTCTTAATCTTCACCACCCAAGTGGATATCAAATGGAATCGCATTGCGGTCTCAATTTTTACTTCTTGACGATTCATGAGATTGAACCTGTCTTCATATATTTATTGACCATAAATGTTTCATCTTCCGGGAAATGCCTATTGTGCCCACTTTTCTACTGGTTGATTGTCCCTTCCTCCTTAATTTTACTAATTCTTTTTTTGTTTTGTTTGTTTTTATCTGCTGACTTAATCTCTACCCCCAACGTGGGACTCGAACTCACAATCCTGAGATCAAGAGCCACACTTGCCACAGGCTGAACCAGCCAGGTGCCCCTAATTTTACTAATTCTTGGACACAGTCCCCCCCCTTGGCACTCAGGTGCTCCTAATTGAATTAATCCTAGTCTTTACCTGATAAGACCTTTTTCCTGGTTACAAAATTAAGGCATGCTTGTTGGAAAAGAAACATGTAAAGAATACAGACACGTTGAGCTTAGAGAAAGTCTGCTTTGTATTGGCTCCACCCCACCTCTAAGTGGGAACAACTCCCACAAATGTGTCATCCCTTATTTTGGGGACTTTGTTTTCACATATGTCTCCCAAACTAGACAGTTTCCCACAAGTAAGGACTCTGTTGTAGTCATCCCTGTATCCTCAGCCCCAGGCAAAGTCCTGGCTTAGCTCAGGAACGTAACACATCCTTGTCGGAGGAGCTGCCGAAAGGTGTGTTCGAACAGAAGTTTTAAAGGTACAAGACTTCAGCTTGACTGGACAGATGATTCAAGTCGGAGAAAAATGGAAGGAAGGTACTGGTACAGTGTCCTGGGGTTTGATTACTTAAAGTCTCAGCCATTGGGCCGAAGTGTTTGATTCTTACCTTGGAGGCAGCCAGCTGAGGAAGCACTCAAGGCTTCTTCAGGTGCAGGGAAGTTATTTGTTCTTATGTTTTTATCAGCAGCAGAATTAAAACATTGACAATTGAGTCATCTAACGGCAGTGCACCAGACATAAGGGAGGAGTTTGGGGAAAATAAAACCAAAGACAGAGAAATGAATGAATCAAGAAGTTATGAACTTTTTTTTGGCGGGG